ACATAAAAATCAATATTTAGGGATGCCTGGGTGGCTCAGTCATTAGGCGTCTGCCTTCGGCTCAGGTCATGATCCCAGGGTCCTGGGATCAAGCCCCACATCGGGCTCCCTCTCAGCGGGAAGCCTGCTTCTCCCTCTCCCACTCCCCCTGCTTGTGTTCCCTCTCTCGCTGTCTCTGTCAAATAAATAAATAAATAAATTCTTTAAAAAAAAAGAAATCAACATTTAGCAAAATAAAATTGCTGTTGCTATTTAAGGTAAAATTTTAAGAAAAAGGGGAGGGATAATTCACCCACACCTGTGCCCCTGACACACACATGTAGTACATAATGTTTACCTTGTGTCCTCTGGAAGACATGGAAAAATATGACACTTGAGTAGCTGCCGGAAAGAAGAGGAATTGGTCACAGAAACCCTCTTGGGTCTCGGGCCATTGAGTGTTTAGGGGACAAAAACAAGCCCCCTCCAAGGCAGGTTTGCTCAAAGCTGGAATTGTGATGAGCTGACTCCTGGCAGTCAGATAGAGAAAGAGGGAGCGAGCGAGCAAGGGAGGGAAGGGGGGAGTGAGGAGGACGAAGATGGAACACAAGAGGCCGTGGGCACGTGGGCCCACAGCATAATATGCAACCTGCACTGCTCCTGGGGATGAGGTGCTGTCCAGAAAGGACAAACAGCTGTGCGGCTGAAAGTAGAACGGACACATCCAGGTGTACCTAAAACAATTAGGAAACCAGCCTGGGGGTTGGGGAAGAACTGCTGAGTCATTAGTAGAACAAGGTGGAAAGAGTCTTGAGGCCCCTGTACAGCCACGTGGCCATCCTCGGAAGTTGTCTTTTGTACACAAAATCTGAGAGTATTCTTCGTCGGTCATTGTGCCCTGAGCAATTAATATGAATGCCGGCCAATGATCAAGGTGTGGGAAGACCCCTGGGGGTGCTTGTCAAACACAGGGAACACATCCATTCTGAAGAGGACAGATGCCCAGGGATAAGGCAGCAGAGCTGAGGTGCAGAAATGAAAAGAGCGAAAACAGAGCCCAGGAGCAGAGGTAAAATTGTGTTCTGAGCGAGGAGAACAAAGCTGCATACTTGTGACTGTGACACAAAAAAATTTTTTTTTTCTCATTTGAAAGCTTTGGCTCCGTTTACATAGAACCATCTCAAGTATTGGACAAATTAAACTTCGATGAAAAAATGAAAAAATAATTGAAATGGGTGATGTCTTCCAATCTCATCTAAGTAAAGCAAATGTAAAGAAAAGCAAACAAAAATTAAAAGGCATAAAAAGTGTACAGGAACATTCTGTAAATGAAAACTACCCTCTTCTATTTAAGAGTCAGGAGTAGAAAGAACTGGGGGCCACGGCGCCCCCCACTGGTCACCCTGGCCACAGGACTCAGCTATGGCAGAGATTTGTGAATTCAGACCAGGAATTCAAAATGACTATCATTAATATGCTGAGGGCTTTAATGTATCCATATTCTCATTCATTCATTCACTCATCTATTTTATCTACTATGTACTCTTTAAAATAGATTTTTTCAGCAAGATGCCCTTTTAAAAATAAAAAAAAAGTTTTGTTCATATAATACCATATTTACCTTCATAATATGTTTGAATGTAACAAAATTTATTCATCTTATTTTTGTCAAATTGTTTTCTTTATGAAATTCTTCCCCAGGAGATTTTTCAGATTTGTTAATTCTTAAAAAGAGAGATAGCTGAATTTGTGACCCATATTGAAGAATGGATGATAAATTCAAATCACTCATTCATTTCTCATTTGTTATTTTAAAACTGCATATCTCTATGCCAGATTATGTGGTTATTCTGGGGACACAGAGGTGAATAAAGCAATTGTAAAGCTTATTCTCTTTGAGCTTTCCATTTTGAAGAGAAAGAAACATACAGCAATAATCATGTTTAAGGAATTTCAATTATATTTCATATTAAAACATGAGGTAGAGCACACGAGACTTTCACTAGCAGCTTGAATGAGGGATGTCAAGAGGGGAGACAGAGCAGATGAACTCTTTAAAGCAGATGAAACCTCTAAACAGACATTCCGCCAGTAGATGCGTCCTTGGATCCAGAATCTCCGACAGAGTATATTGTGGAGATATTAATTTACAATTGTTTGTTGCATATTTGCAAATCAGGGCATGATAATAGATGTGTTCCCTTATGAGTAGATTGTAAAACGAGGAGATGACCTAAAGTTTATGAAGATGTTGAACTTTTAAAGTTAAAAGAGAAGAACTTGCAAAGAGCACAGAGATGGTGTAGCCAGTGTGGGTAGGAGGCAAGAGAAGAATGATCTTCAGAAAGTACTGACTAAAAAAGAAAGTACTGACTAAGCAAACAAAGAGTTTAAATTTGAGGGGCATCTTAGAGAAGGATGGGGCTAACTTGTCCCAGTGGATCTGAAAACATAGGTGCCATTGGTCACTTCGGTAAGATCTGATTAGGAAGAAAAATAGGCCATGTTGATAGATGGAGAAAGAGTGTGGTAAGTTGTCGCCTCTTTTTTTTACGTAGAGCAGCGTTGCTATGGTTCTATAAATTTACTGAAAAAACATATTTATAAGAAGTTCTTGGTTTCTTTGATTTTCTTTAGAGTTTTTCTAGTTTCTATTTCCTTGATTTTCATTATTCTCTTTATTGTTTCTTTTTATTTATTTTTTAATTTTCTTTTATTTCTTTTATTTCTAGCTTGTTTCTTTTATTTATTTATAAGTTTCTTTTTATAAGTTATTTCTTTTATACGTTATTTATTTATTTATAAGTTTCTTTTATTTCTAGCTTGTTACAGGGAAAGTGAAGAATCCTGACTTTGGACTTTCCTTCTTCTCTAGCCTGAGCATCTAAAGCCATAAGTTATACTTTAATCCTGCCTAGCTGCATCTCACAAATTTTAATGTTATGGGTTTTTAAATTTTTTTTCATTTATTTATTTTTAAAGTAAACTCCACACCCAACATGGAGCTTGAACTCGCCATCCTGCGATCAAGAGTCACGTGTCCTACCGACTGAGCCAGCCAGGAGCCTCCAATATGTTGTGTTTTCATTTCCATTTATTTCAATGTATTTTCATACTTCCCTTGGGATTTCTTCTTTGCCCCATGAGTTATTTAAATGTTATTTAATTTCCAAATATTTGGAGATTTTTCAGGTATCTCTCTGGTATTGTTTTCTATATTTTTCTATTGCAGTTAAAGAACTTACTGTATCATCTCAGTCCTTTTAATTCTATAGAAAATTTTTATGACCCAGAATCTGGTCTATATTTATGATTGTCCTAAAGAAATCTGAAAAAAAATATACGTCACTTGTTATATTTGTGATATTTTCCATCTCTAAAAGTTCCTATCGGTTTTTATTTGTGTCTTCCATTTTTTCCTTCACTGTACCTTGAGGAAGAAAGTCATCTTAATTATCAAACTCAAGGAGATGTTGTTCTTTGTCTCAGCATCACGGACAGTTTTCTAGTTATTTCTGCTAGGAGCACAGTTCAAGCCTTCTTCATACGTCGTGACTGAAACTGCACTACTTTCCTTCTTATTTTTTATTTTATTTTTTTTAAGATTTTATTTATTTATTTGTCAGAGAGAGAGAGCGCACAAGAAGGGCAGGCAGAGGGAGAAGCAGGCTCCCGGCTGAGCAAGGAGCCTGATGTGGAACTCGATCCCAGGACCCTGGGATCAGGACCTGAGCTGAAGGCAAATGCTAACCAACTGAGCCATCCAGGTGTCCCTACTTTCCTTCTTAAAATCCAATCTTACATCAAATCTGTATTTCATCAGGATTTTATTTTCATCTATCATATGATATGAGAGTTGACATTGATCTCTGCCTGGATTAGCAGGTAATCATTGTGGAATCATTTCTTTTTTTTTTTTTTTAAGATTTTATTTATTTGACAGAGAGAGACACAGATTTTATTTATTTATTTGACAGAGAGAGACACAGCGAGAGAGGGAACACAAGCAGGGGGAGTGGGAGAGGGAGAAGCAGACTTCCCACTGAGCAGGGAGCCTGACGCGGGGCTCAATCCCAGGACCCAGGGATCATGACCTGAGCCGAAGGCAGATGCTTAACGACTGAGCCACCCAGGCGCCCTGGAATCATTTCTGGATGGTTAATCCCATCATTTGAACATCAGATACATCCTTTATCCTAAGCCTAGCTGTCAATGATAACACAACCATTTTGGGCATGATGTGTTTTACCAATCTGGTTACCTAATTTTCCTCTTTGTTACATTGCATTTTCTGTTATTATGAAATACAGCTTATTTTTACATAGAGATTGATATGCCCAGACTTTACTGCTTCCTTTCTTCCTGACTAAATAAAGATTTGATCTTTAGGTAGGGCAATGACTTCAGAAAAATGATAAATTCTTAGGCATTAATAAATAATGAGTTTGCAATGAATATAATGGCCAGGGACACTTCCCTCATAAGATGAAAAAATGAAAGTGAATCAGAAACTTTCTCTTTTCCAATATCCGAAGGGACAAATTAGGTGAAAACCAATAAAAAGCCAGAGCACCAGCAAACAAGACAGAGAGCAAGAAAATGTATAAATTTGGGATTAAAATATATGAGAACTACAAAATAAGAATTGTAAGGAATATTTATGACATGTGATACAGGATTATGTACTGCGTCTAGATTTTGCTAAGGAATTTAGATGTTTGATCCGGAATAATTCGCTTAATCTCTTTGGACCTCAGTTTCTCCACATATAAAGGAGGCTGGAAATGTTCCTTGAGTTGTGAGTAGTAAATAATCTAGAACACTTAGAAGCACTTGGCAGCATATTTCCCACTGAATGAAGCTTTAACAGATGGTGACTCTTTTCTTATTTATTCATAGAGATCTAGAAGAGAATAGTGGACTTCTCCTAGCCGCCTCTCTGTTACTGATTGACAACTGCTGATGGTCTAAAACACAGAATTGGGAACACGTGGCTCATTGATTATATACACAATAGTATAATATGTATATGTATATTGTACATGCTTTATATACACTATATATTCTGATTCCTAGCACATTTCCCCCTTCTATCCTCCTTCCCCCAATCCCATCCATTCACTCCCATATTACAATGTTTCCCTCTGCCCATGTAGAAACCCCCAGTGAGCTCTGCCCTCCTCATTACTCTTCAGGAGGCTCTCCTGCCCATTCACACAGCTGCTTCCTTTACCCTTGTGGTTTCTGGCTGGCAATTTTACTTCCAAGTACAAAGCCGCTAACTGAAACCAAGAGTTGTGTGAAAGTTCTAGGTTTTTGGAAACTCTCCTAGGAGAGGCCTTGTTCTCTTCTTTTTCTCCTGGTGACTATTTTTGGACCTGAGGGAATGTCCTCGCTGCAGAGATGTAACAGCCGCTTTAGCAAGAAGGAAATAAAAAGCTGGATCAGTTTACTCTGTGGCCTGTTAAAATATTTATGAAGGAAGAGTGCCCCCTACTGGCTAAGATGGACAGAGACAGTGAGCAAGTCTGGAGACATTTCTGTTCTATGCAGAAGCCTTTCTCCTGGCAGGAGATGTTTTTTCAGAGCAAAAAAGGCTCATTCTTGGAAGGAACTGACTCCAATAGTGTAATAAGCCAATTTCCATAGCTTTTGTATATTTTTGAAAAAACATACTTTTCTTAAAGAGTAGTTAGCTTCAGAGCAAAATTGAGTAAAAGATATCAAGATTTTTCTCATAGTCCCTGGTTCTGTATCTACATTGTCTCTCCCATTATCAATATTCCCCCACCAGATGGAATAGTTGTTACACTTGCTCCCAAGAGTTACAATTGCTTCTTATGGTTGAGAACCAATCTGAAATATTGCAATGGTCTGTGGCTCTCCAAAGCTTGACCTTGGAGCGGTCTAACAAAACCTTAGCATTTATTGTCTCTCATTGGGTTTTCTTGGGTTTTACACAGAATCAATGACACAGAGTTCTTGGAAGATACCCAAACTGTCTGCAAGATCAGTGTGACAAACCTAGGAATAACAGGAATAATTTAGGATTGAAGGAGTTTCTCTCCATCATTTCCTGGATCTCAAAGTCTGACCTGGAGAGGGGATCTGTGCTTACTTGTGAGCTGCCATCGGATGTCTTGTGGATGTTGCTTGTCTGAGCCTCCCCAAGAAGGGAAAATATGAGTTCTGTAAGCAGAAAAGACTTCTTGCAGGCTTTGGCAATAAAATACAAATAGATTATATTTTATGATTTAGTTGTACAACACTTATTCAACACATCAGTAATTATCTAGTGCTAAACAGAAAACATATTTTGACAATACCTTCAAGAGTATCTAGTAGCAGGTGAAGTTAAAAATGATTTTGTCATATGAGGCAACATTAAAATTCAGTACACTAAAACCAGATGTTAGAAATAATTTAATTTTTCACTTGCTTTTAATAATTTGGAATGGTTTTAAATGGGTTTTTTTTAAAGATTTTATTTATTTGAAAGAGAGAGAGAGACAGCGAGAGAGGGAACACAAGCAGGGGGGTTGGGAGAGGGAGAAGCAGGCTTCCCGCGGAGTAGGGAGCCGGATGCGGGGCTCGATCCCAGGACCCTGGGACCATGACCTGAGCTGAAGGCGGATGCTTAATGACTGAGCCACCCAGGCGCCCGGATTTGAAATGTTTAAGTACACCAAAATCATTATATCTTTTTAGAAATTGTTAATTTGCATATGTCCTTTATATATTACAATTTATATATATAAATAAATTATAAGTCACTCATCAAATTTACTTATATACTTAAGCATCAATAGCTTTAAAATTTAACTTTTAGCTTAAAATATTTAGTCATTCGTAACCCTGAATTGAATAAACTTCACACTTTCTTTTTTACCTATAAAGCACAGATATAAATACAATATGTAACTATATATACTGTGTATCCATGCTATTAAGTTTTCTTGGAAGGTTCAATTAAAAAACATCCAAAAAGACTGGAGGCAAGAGACAATAATGAATAAAATAATATATGGTTGAGAAACCCATGCTCTAAACCCAAGGAGAAAGTACAGAAGGGAAAGCAAAAAGAGAAGTGGAACATAAGGGAAACGTTCAGAAATTGAAAACTCCCATGTCCCCTACTTAAGCCACACACACAAGGGAAGATGTTCAGAGAACCTAGAGCCACGGTTCCCAGACTTGCCCACCCCAGCCAGGCCAGCAGCATCTGCAGGATCCCCAATGGCCCTGCCCTTTTCCTTCTTGGTGGCCCTGGTGGTGCTCAGTTGCAACTCGCTCTGCTCTCTGGGATGTGACCTGCCTCAGAACCATGGTCTGTTTGCCTGGAGGGCCTTGATGCTCCTGGGACAAATGAGGAGAATCTCCCTTATCTCTTGTAACAAGCACACAAGTGACTTTGCCTTCCCCCAGGAGGTGCTTGCTGGCAAGCAGTTGCAGAAGGCTCAAGCCCTCACTGTCGTCCATGTGATGAACCAGAAGATCTTCCACCTCTTCTGCACCGAGGCTTCATCTACTGCTTGGAACGAGACCCTCCTAGAGGAGTTCTGCTCGGGAATTTATCAGCAGCTGACCAATCTAGAAGCCTGTCCCATGCAGGAGGCTGGGGTGGCAGAGACTCCCCTCATGAAGGTGGACTCCATCCTGAGGAACTACTTCCAAAGAATCTCCCTCTATCTGCAAGAGAAGCAATACAGCCCTTGTGCCTGGGAGATTGTCAGAGCAGAAATCACGAGCTCCTTGTTTTCATCAACAATCTTGCAAGAAAGATTAAGGAGCAAGAAATGAGACCCATTTCAACATAAAATGATTTTCATTGACTAATAATCATACTTTCCCTTGTTCTGCTGTGTCAAAGACTCTCATTTCTGCTGTTATGGTGACATCAACAGAATGCATTTGTTAAAGGTTTTCAGAAGTATTAAGCGACATGTCAACTCTACAAGCAGTCGTCGCTTATAGTTGACCGTGCTCATGTCTATTTATCTATTTAAATATTTATTTATGTAAATGTCTATACGATTTGGATTTTTTCATGTAATATGTGCACCTTTATATTGCAGAATATAATAAAATATATATATTTTAAGATTTTATTTATTTATTTGAGAGAGAGAGAATGAGAGAGAGTGAGCACATGAGAGGGGTTAGGGTCAGAGGAAGAAGCAGACTCCCTGCCGAGCAGGGAGCCCGATGCGGGACTCGATCCAGGGACTCCAGGATCATGACCTGAGCCGAAGGCAGTCGCTTAACCAACTGAGCCACCCAGGCACCCAATAAAATATATTTTTAATATTTAATGAGTTTATCATTTTTCTTCTTTATTGAACATTTACTAAGCAAAGTGTTTTTAAAGAGTAACACCAAGTCTAATTGTGCAACTTGATTGAAAATTGGACAGCAGAATGCATTTACCCATCGTACTACATTAACATCGGAAATAACACTGACTTCCTCTAAGACAACTTTCATGTTACCCTTAGAATATAGGACGTAATAAATACAGTTCCTGATGTCTTCATCTTTGGTTGTTGGAGGGATAGGAATCTAAAAACAATCCTCAGACTTAGTGTTATGATGAAGAAGGGAAGGAAGTGAATTCTCTCACCGGATGCTGCAATGGAGAAGGTCAGGAAGTACACATAAAAGCTGGGGACCCCTTGACAGGTGACTGGTAGACATGGAGGCACAAATGTCCAGTGTCAGGGGAGAGGTGATCTTGCGTTTGACAAGAAATGCCATGGCTGAGGTCCATATCTAGCAGGGAATGCCAGAAACAGAGGTGTTCATGCGGGGAGACCGTGTAGTGTGAGAAACAGACATAAACTTGATTCTGAGGCTCTCCAACCATTGAAGGGAGGGGAGAGAAGAGCCACAAGGAGACAGTGGACTCATGGCCACACAGTACGTGGATAATAAGAGAGGATGCTGATGAGTATATTTAACGACATAAATGTGCTTCGAAGACCATCAGTGGATTCCTGGAAGATGTGGATTGAAACTGCCTGGCGTGTCAGAAAACTAGATGCCTTTGCTGACCTCATGACAGTTGGTTGGGTGGAATGATAAGCAGAGATCACACTGGAGCCGATGGGAGCATAAATAAGAGAAGTCAGTGGATCTGAAATGGAGAAGAATATGGCATGGGATCTGGGAATAATGGGGTTCGTTTTTCTGTGCATAGTTTGCCCTTTTATGCCGTATGTTTTTTCCTGAGTGATTTCATGGAATTGATTTTCTGGCAAATCATGTTAATGTGTTTAGTACTGTATTTAGTGTGAATCACGATGTAACCGAGTGAATGTCATGCTTCCTTCCCTCCCAGGTAGCTGTGGCCATCAGTATAGTCCAGTGCCCACCAGTCACCCCTCCTGGAGCCCTGAATTCACAGAAAGCCTCTGCCTTGCACCCCCTGTGCCTCACACCACCCCCCCATTCTCCTTATTCTCCTACAGCATTTATCTAGGTTATGAACAAATCTTCTGTCACCATCGTGAATACATTCAAGACCCCAAGGAATCCCCCTCAGTTATACTGAGATATAACTGACATATAATATCATATTTGTTTAAAGTGTACAACATAATGGTTTGACCTATGTATATACTGTGAAATGATTACTAAGTTTAGTTAACTTCCACCACCTCATATGGTCACAATTTTTTTCTTCTGATGAGGACTTTTAAGATCTACTCTAAGCAACTTTCAAATATATGATAGAGTCCTGTTAACTATAATCATGCTATGCATTATATCCCCAGAACTGATTTCTCTTATAATTAGAAGTTTGTGCCTTTGGCCACCTTCACCCACTTGCCCATCTCCCCCACCTCTGGCATCCACCAGTCTGTTGCATACTTTAATGCTCTTCATCTGTATTTACTCATTTCATACACTAATCCTTGAAAACATACCATTATTGTCCCTCATATTAAGGATGAGGAAACTAGAGAACATAGTGTTTATGTTATTTGCCGAAGTTCTGCTAATAGTGTATAGCAGAGCTGGAATTCAACCTTCAAACTCTGGCTCCAGAAGCACATTCCTTAACCACTAAAATAGATGGTACGAACTATCAGGCCAAGCTGGGGCACAGTCCAAAACAATAAAATGAGATGTGTTGAAGAATAACCACTGCCTTCCACATAGCACTTTGCATATAGCTTCACACCTACTCTTCCAGTGTATATTCCCTCACATGTAGCTCAGAACACCATGCAGAGGTGTGAGGTTTTGAGATGGCAAGGTTTTTGCCCAAGAGTCACAGCTGGTAAGAAGAAGTCAGATGTGATCTCAGAATGGATTAGGGCCTATTATTTTCTTATCCATTTCACAGAAGACAGTAGTAAATAGAGGCCAGGATTGAATGTGTAATGGTCCCCTACCTTGAGGAAGCCCAGCTAAGCATGTTCCCTGTGTTTGGTGTTAAAGTTGTAAGAAGTTCTAGATGTGCCTTGTCTCTGTACCGAATGTTTAGATGCAACATGGTGCCTCAGAATTCTTGGGGTCTTAAAGAAAGACAAATACTGGGGCACCTGGGTGGCTCAGCTCGTTAAGTGTCTAACACTTGATTTTAGCTCAGATCATGAGCTCAGGGCTTGAGTTCGAGCACCGCATTGGACTCCACGCTCAGTGCAGAGTCTGCTAGAGATTCTCTCTCTCCCTCTCCATCTGCCCCTCCCCCCATTGGCAAGCTCTCTCTCTGAATAAACAAATAAATGAAATCTTAAAAAAAAAAAAAAAAAAAGAGGGGCGCCTGGGTGGCTCAGTTGGTTAAGCGACTGCCTTCGGCTCAGGTCATGATCCTGGAGTCCCGGGATCGAGTCCCACGTTGGGCTCCCTGCTCAGCGGGGAGTCTGCTTCTCCCTCTCCCGCTCCCCCCCTCTTGTGCTCTCTCTCTCTCAAATAAATAAATAAATCTTGAAAAAAAAAAAGACAAATACTGTGTGATCTCACTTATATATAGAATTTTAAAAGACTGAACGCTATTGAAAGTGACTATTCATACCCAGTCTTGGAATCTCACTTCCAGGAAGTCTTCTTCTAAATATCTTTGACTCAGGTTCATCTCCAGCTACTGATAATGTCCAATGTAGAATTTCTATGAGAAGCAGTCAGAGCCGTCCTCCAGAAATAACAGAAAGGAAACACTCAGCTTTTGGTGGAGCAACCCTATATCCCCATTGTCCAGACTATGGTCTGAGTCAGCTCACAACCCAGAAAAAAGATGGGGCTAGAGAATGGATCTACTTTAAATTCTTTTTTTAAAAAAAGTTTTCTGTCAAATATTTTAGGAGAGATTTGTATAAACACTTTACCAAAGAAGTATCCAGGTGACAAAAATATGAAGAGATGCTCAACACCATTAGTCATTTGGAAAATGCCATTTTACACACTCAGACACCTCTACATGCTGATGAAAATAGTTAAAATGAAAAAGACTGACCATACTGAGTGTTGGGTAGGATGTGGAGCAAGTGGAACTCTCCTTCATTGCTCATGGGAAAGTATAATGGTACAACCATTTTGGAAGACAGATTGGCTTTTCCTTGAAAAGGTCAACATATACTTCCATATGATTAAGCCATTCCATTCCTAGGTATTTACCTCAGAAAAACAAAAACAAAACAGATAGACCAAAATTGTACTTTGTTTTCTCTAATGTCTTTCATCTTCCCTATTGACTATCCTATAGGAAAAACAAATAAGCAAGCAAACAAAAATAAACAACAATATTTTTTGGAATAAAAATGTATTTAATAAAATTTAAAAAACACAATGGCCAAGTGCATGGTATAAAGTAAGTGCTCAAAGACTGTCATACAAACGACTGGTCTACTATAAGCATAATTTCTCATTTCTTCACCAACGTATGTCATCACTCTGGCTCTAATCGATAAAGATCTCCCCTTACCCATTTTGTCGTATCTGCACTACTTGAGGCTTTTTGAGAATTAACACCTCCCTCTCCCTTCTCTTAGTGCTAGGAAAATTTACAGATTCAAGCTCTAAACGGATGCACCGGGAGAGAATAGAGCTGGAGGTTTCGGGCAGTTCTTTACAAAGTCTCATTATTGGTCAAATACATACCTGCAGGGGAAAAAAGAAAAAATTTACTTAGTGAAAAAAAAATGTGTGTGTGGTGTAAAGAAGATTGCCCTAGCAGATCCAGGTTATCAGATTTATTATTATTATTATTATTATTGTTACTTAGATTTCTTATGTAAACCTTAAACTTCTGTGGGTCTCAGGTGATTTTTTTTCCCTTCAGGTCATTTATCTATATGACGTTGGTCACGTTTGTGAAAATACAAGGTGTGGTCCAATTGCTTTCTGAAGTCATTTCTCTATCTGGGATCCTATGGGAAAGATCTAGAAGAAATATGTTCTGGGGTAGGCAGAGGGTACTCCTCTGCTACTATTTGCTCTTCAGCTCCCCTGAAAAGGAAACTCCGACTATGGTTAGACCAACCACAGGATAGTTGAAGGACACCTGCAAGGTAGTGCCTTAAAAGGCATCCTTTGAGACCTTCATTCCTCATCTGAGGCAGCTGGAGCCCTAACGGACTCACCTGGAATCTCAGTCACACCTTCTAGAGCCTTCTGTCTATCCCCTGCTTTGAACTGTTTCCACGTTCATCTAATTTCTGTCCCACTGCCTCCTACCTGACTGCTTTCTTGCGACCTTCCCCCTTGAGCCTGACAAGTAGCTGGAAGGTCACTTTTTTTTTTTTTTTTTTTTTTTTTAAGATTTTATTTATTTGACAGAGAGACACAGTGAGAGAGGGAACAAAAGCAGGGGGAGTGGGAGAGAGAGAAGCAGGCTTCCCACCGAGCAGGGAGCCCAATGCGGGGCTCGATCCCAGGACCCTGGGATCATGACCTGAGCCGAAGGCAGACACCTAACAACGGAGCCACCAAGGTGTGCCTGGAAGGTCACTTCTCAGTGACTCCAGTGGTCCCAGCTCATGGTCTTCCTCATTGTGCACATCACAGAGACCCAAAGATCAGCCATCTTGGTCCTCGGCGGGAATCCTAGTCCAGCTTGCTTGAAAGG